AGCCTTAGCTGTAAGAAAACCCATACACCAAACACCCAGCAAAAACCTGCAGAATGTACATGTATATGATACAATCAATATGCATATCACAGTTTGTAATTACAGTGTTGCAAATATAAGTTGATAAGCAAATTATCTCTTCTTTGGTCTTTATTGGCTATCACACTTAGTTTTTTGCATATTGCAGAAGGTTGTTAGGAATCTCCTATAGTTTGCCATTTCGCTTCTCTTACATGAAATTTGGCTGTTTCCCCCAGGGGGAGGGGAAGGGGGGTAGTTTTGTCCTCTGCAGAAGTAGTTTTTTTGCCTTTATGACAGAATATCATTGCTCTATGAGAAGGGTTAAAGATTTCCAAGATAATATTCTGTTCTTTCTTGCTGCATTTGTCTTTTACATAGAGAGTTATGCAGGATTTGCAGATTGCTGTTGGCGGCTATGCCATAAATTTCCTTTGAATTACGAAACTGATAAGAAGTGCACAGCCAATGACTACTTGAAAATGTGTGTGTGAATGATGGATGACTGAGGTGGCCACCTAAGAGTGTATGAAAAAAGATTGTGTGAAAGAGAAAAACTACATGAATGTGTAACTGTGTAAACTTAAAAATACTTTCCGTCGGTGTCGAGATTTTAAGAAGGTATTAGGACTGAGGTTAAATAAGAAATTCTTACAAAAATTTGGTATTCTATTACAGCCTTGTATGAAGATTGTGAAATTTGAATCTCAGGTGGAGTTTTTCCACTAATATTGTTCCTTAGCTGTGTGAGCTGCGCAGGAGACCGCTAGTTTTGGAGCGAGTAAAAACCATAAGCCAGCAAACATTAATGCAGACTGCAGGGTTAGCAGAGCCCGGAGCAAGGTGCACCACTATGTGTCCAGGTGCCCGAGAACCATTCTTACAATTCGTGGAAAAGCTGCAAGTCACTGTAGAGAAACAGGTTTTTTGACACAGTTACAGAAGCTGCTAGTTACATAACTAGCTAGAGATAATGCTAATACAGACTGTCAAAAGTACTATCTTTGGTGCGGTGATGCAGGTTTGTGCCGGGGTGAGATCCTTAGACCATCAAATAATTACATTTGCATCTGCTATGGCAGTAGTGAGGGTCGTTTGAGCTTTTCTGTGTTTTCCAGGATTTAAATCAGGAATTGTCGATGTTGCTGCCTTGCTTGTTCAGCTCATTGCAGGGGGGGCCCTTGCAGACTGTCAAGGCCATCCTCCATGCCTTTTCAAGGGCATCTGCAGCGTTGTGGATAGTGTGTCTTCAGGCCTCCTGGCTGGAGGCCAGAGCAGACCAGTTATGTTGATCAGTGTGACCAGAGCTGAAGTGTTGTTGTAAAGGGTCCTTATATATTGTCTTCAAAACCCCTCCCGTGCAACAGTTGGTAGCAATATTCATTGTAAAATGGCTAGTCTCTCCTCCTTAAAACATGCCCTACCCATTGCAGCTGTGTTCTCAGCAAAATAGCCTCACTACTTGTGACTACTGCTTGTTTCCTACCAGACCTATTGCTTGCATAATTTGATTAGTGAATGTTTAGGATTGTACGAAGGCAACCTGTACTCTTTGTGATGCTCAAAGCTTGCTGTTAATTGTCCAAACAAACAAACTTCTGTAGTCATTCGGTGGTCATTCCAAGGGTTAGGGTTGTGATGCTGATTACATTGAACCATCTCAGAATCCTTTAATTACCCCTGTCTTTGTGATAAAGAAAAAATCTGTGAAATGAAAACTGTTGCATGATCTCAGAGGGCTTGGTGTAGTCATGGTTAGTAAGCATTGGCTTACTGACCCCTTCTATGCATCCTACTGAATAGCCCATTGTTATTATTGATTTGACAGGTTATTTTTTCACAACCCAGTTAGACCCCAGTGATAGAGAAAAAATTTGCATTTTCAGTTCCATCTATTATTCGTACAGAACCTTACAAGTGTTATCCATAGAAAACCTTCTCCCCTGGAATGAAAAGCTTTTCTATAATTTGTCAGTGGTTTGTGATTCCAATGTTATCTCCTGTACTAATGCAATTTTCTGACTGTCTTTTGTTGTCATTATATAGATCATATTTCTGCTGGTTGTAGCCACTGAGGATCAGCTGGGTGTGCTGGATGCTGAAACCGAAAAGAGTCTACAGTTCTTTGGCCTAGTAGTTGCTCCTGACACGGTCCAGTGAGGTACCCTGGAAATATTTAGGGTTCACGTACACAAAAAGCAGTCATTCCTCAACCAGTTCAATTGGATATTAATGTTAAAACTCTTACTGACATACAGTATCTATTAAGATCTTTAAATTAGATTGCATTGTACTTGCAATTGCCAAACACCCAGCTGGCACCTCTATTTGACCTGCTCAAACATTCTGACAATTTTCAAGAACTGAGGGAACAGACTGAGAGAACTGACTAACAGAGCAGTTTGGACCATCTAACAAGTAGAGCAAGCTTGACATTCTAAATTTGTTTCACACATTGATCATTGTCAAATTGTCTAATTTTTCATTTTTGCATATCACAGAGTTCCTTTTGTCAAAAACCTGCTCCTGGATTGTTTGAGCACATAGCTCAAATCACCATTAAGGCTAGAGAAAGATGCGTAGAGTATACTGGCAGAGATCCAGTTCGCATTGTTGTACCTGTACACTCTCATTACTTTGAGTAGTGTATATATAGTGGCCAGCCTCAGACCCTTGAAAAAGTTGTTTTGTAAAGTTATGCGGCAAAGTGTAGGCAATTGGGATTTGTTGCAAGAACAGCCTTGAATATTGAAAAAAAAAAAAAAAAGCCCCAAGATGGTCTTACAGTCTTGAGAAAGACAGGTAAAGCTGCGGTTGAGCTGTAACCCTTGCTTTTCAGATCAACCTTTGAATGTTATTGTTGATTCTGCATATGTTACAGTGACTTGATCAGGTGGTGTTGTATTGTCCATTTCCAAGTCTTATTTTTCAAGTGTTGTTTGTACTCTAAAGAACTCCTTTGCAGAGGCTTGTTTCAGCAGGTTTCCTATGCTTCGATCCAGTGCAGTTTCATAGTTTTTCACCTCTTTTAGAGTTTCGAGAAAGGCACGCTGTGCTTTGCCAGGGGCCTCCTCTAAACTGATGGTCTTGTGGTCCCTGTGGGAGTTGAGGACAGAGCATAGCATGCAAATGCAGACCTTGTCCTTCTCGCAGTAGCATTCCAGCAATTTGCCGTGCTGGGGGCATTTCCTCTCAGCCAAAACCTGGGCACCACAGGGCTCCACCAGGACGTGGTTCTTCTGGGTGTTCTTTGTGCTGTGCTTGCTCAGGTGAGCTTCAGCTCCCCGGTGGGGCCTGTGGGGTAAAGGCAGAGTGAGCACTTGGAAGGGCCCTGTTGGCATTTCTGTTCCTTCTGGATGCACTCCTTGCAGAAGCTGTGACTGCACCCCAGGGACATGGGGGTCCTGTAAATGTCCAGGCAGATGGGGCAGGTCAGCTTGTCCTTCAGCCTGGCCTCAGCACCCACCTCGGCCATGTCGCCTGAGCCTCGCGACAGGGATGAGGGCAAGGAGGAGGGCACTGGTGGGAAACTGAGAGCACAGCATGCAGAAGCCTTCAGATGTAGATTTAGCTTAGTTCATTCTATTGCTCGCTCGGTTGTTGTCTCTTGTCCAGATTGTTGTCGTGCCTGTACTGTCTATTTCAGTACTAACCCTCGAGGTCTTACAGCTTTACAGATTTGGCAATCAGATGATTCAAGTCGATGAAATTGGTAATTTGGAGCATGTCCATGTGTCCATTGGCATGTCTTCCCACGTGGTGGTTGTTAATACATGTACTACACGAAAAGGTCATGGTGTCATTGCTGCATTTGAGTTGCCCGATCAGGTGCGGGCGGACAATGAACTACCTTGTGTCTGTAAATCTGTCCAAGTTTTCTTTGCCTTGTGAAAGATTGTATCAGGGTGAATTTATGCTGATACTTTTGGTCTGTGTTTGGCCCTGCCACCTGTGAAAGCTTTGCTCTTTCCCTGCCAAGTTATGGGAAAACAAGCACTGATAAACGGGAAAGTTGTCCTTGAAGAGAGCTTCTTGTATAAACTGTTTTAATTGGTATTCTGTGATTGGCTAGTTGTCCTCCAAGGTCACTTGAAGGAGAGTTTGACGAGGAGGATGATGAAGGACGCCCCCAGAC